AAAAGCGTGACACCGCACTGAGAACAATACTCGTTCTTCCTACCACCACGAAGGTGAAGTGGGATGGTAAAGAACGAGTAAAAAAAACATCTATGAAGGGGCACTTTTGGTTTATCAGTTTATTGAGAAATTTGTTGGCTAGAAATATTTATCACATTCGAAGCAGAATCACAAAGCAGTTATTCAGTTCTCATATAAAGAAGGAGAATAAATAAATATTGGTTCAATGTACATTTCAAAGACATGTAAAATAATAAATTGATGCAAATATTACTGCACAATTATTCAAACAGATGAAAAATGGCTTGGTCCTTATCACAATGGACAAGTAACACCTTAAAAAAATATATATACACATGTTTGTTTTAAGCATTGTAAACCCTGTTGAAACTTTTGATTCTTTTACTTAGCTTTAAACAAATGACTGAAGGTTGTTTTTAATGATTACTCACTAAAAACAAACACTTCAATACTTTCTAAACATACTTCTTCTTTAGGTGGGCTCAGCTGAGGCTTCCTTACTTTCAGATAATGCACGAGATTCATGGACTAGTACAGCGTAGGATAGGCCCTGGGCAGATAAAAACAATATTTTCATGGGAATTAACCAAGGTGTTAACATGTGAATGGTACAATTATTTACCTGTGATTTTGCAGCTCTTACAAACCCCTCATTTGCGGTAACAGTTATTGCACGAAGTTCATCTCCAGTACCAAATATTTTTCTTGACCTTGCTTTAACTTTTCCACCTTCTTTCAGATATTGATCTGTTCGTTTTGATATTTGGTCAGGAACAACAGAAATTCGTTGAAGAAGAATCTCTGCTCTCTTTTTCTCAGCTGGTCCTCCTAGAGTTGCTATAATACTTTGAAAGTCTTTGTAAGCAGTACTGCAGCAAAAAAGTTCTCTTCCTGAACAATAAAACAAATCTGTTGTAGTTTTCATGGAGGAATAAAAACAAGTATGTTCCTATCCTATTATGGGGGAAAAAATACCTTGGAAAGCCTTGTCTAAAAGTGGCTTTGCTGGTCTTTCCCTCTCCCACTCAGCTTGTTGTGTTAAAAGTGGCTCCTTAAATTTGAAATGGCAACCACCATTTGTCAAGGATGATACATAGGCAATCATTGCTGTTACGTCAAGGTTTAATCTCTCTTCTGATCTAAAACAAAATAAAATGCAAAAAAAAAAAAAAAGTGTTATCAAAGCGATCTCTTGCAATCAAAAATGTTGACTCCAATAAAGAAGGGAACAAAAAACAACAAAAAGAAAACAGGTTATTAACACCTTGAACTGTCATTAACTTCAACATTGTTAGAGTACTCTCTATTATCATCATAATTTTCATATCTTTCCCCACAATCCTGATCTGAATTGGATGCATCATCAAATTCTGAATCTTCTGCATGGAGGCAATTTTCATTTTCAACTCTTTCTCCTCTTACTTCAATACCAAGTTTCTCTAAAGTGTTTGCTAGGGGTAATTCTATGCCACTTGCAAAAAAGAAAGCAACCTATAAAAAGGGATGAACTAATTTAATATGGTTTGGGCAATACTTTAGATGAGACGTAATCACCAACGTACTCTCGGAATTTTGAAATGATATGGATGTTGGCTGGCACATGCTAGAAATTCCTTGGCCTGATCTGTTACTGTTCGTTGTCCATATTCACCTTCTCCTAAACAGAGGTAAGTAACAATGGACATTCTAGGACACACTCTTAGAAACTGAAATTTTGTTGCAATAATTATTATACAAACCTGCAGACAATAATGAAAGTGCTTTTGGGTTCCGGGCGACCACTTTTATCCATGTTTGACCCTGGTCAGCAATAATATCAACGCAAACTCTCTTGCTATCTCCAGAACCAGTTCGCAGCTCCAATGTTTCCAATATTGCACTACACCCATCACAGTGTTCCAATACACAATTGACTAGCGCCTCCAAGTGTCCTAAATTGGTACACTTCACATGTTCAATCTTTATATCACGTTTTTCCAACACCTGTCAGAATAACAACTTTGTTGAGAAAAAGAGTTAACAGTTGACAAACACTCAGTCATTGCCAGATTACCTTGCGAAGAAAGTTTGTTTCCTGCTGCAATCTTTTTAAGAGCTTTTGACAACCCCTCACTTTGGATTTATCACATAAAAGTGATAAAAGCTTCTCTCCAAGCTTAATTTTGGCTTCAAGTTCAATTTGAAGAGCTGTACTCACAAACACATACAATAATTTATTTTCTAGAATTAAGACAATTAAATTGTGTCCTTGACAAGTCACAAGAATATCATTAAATTGGGATTTTTTACCTTGAGGATCAATCTGAGAATAGTCTACAACAGATAATG